TCCCGGACAAGAGACTGTGTCCGCAGGAAGCAGAGGAGGCCAAGTGTGGGCGAAGAAGGGTAGGGGGTGGGAAAGTGTATATCACAAATTACCGGAGCTCCACAGCCCCTCAGGAAGAAGCAAAGATGGTGCATGGAGCCAGGTATTTGAGCAAAAGGAGGGAGAGGTGGTGAGAGGTAAGGAAGAAATCAAAACAAGCAGAAAAAAGCAACACCAGCAGCCAACAAATGGCGCTCAGAGAGCTGGCCCGTTCAGGTGGGTGGAATCCAAGCAGCTGGTGCTTCCCGGAGAAGAGATTGTGGCCGTGGTAAGCAGAGGTGGCCGAGTGGGGGTGAAGAAGGGTGGGGGTTGGGAAAGCATGTATCGCAAATTACCGGTTGTTTTGTCTCCTGCTGGAAGCTCCGTGAAGCTGCTTTCTCGTACCCCCCTGTTTGCTGGTCTCCGATAGGAGTCCAAGATGGCAGATCCGTGCTACGTTAGCTGATAGAGGACCTCTGCATGAATCTCTCCTCGCTCTCCATTCTCTGTCAGTTTTCTCACTGCATTTGGTGCTTGGCTGAGTTCTTTATCTCTTCATTTGATGTTTTAAGGTTTCAGGATTGTTGTTTTCTCTGTTCGGCTTAGTTTTTCTGATCTTTGCTGTGGAGGGACGGCGTGGTGCTTCTGCCTAGAGCACCATTTTTCCAGAAGTCTTGGATGATTGTTTAATAGTCAGAAAAAATGTTTGGCAGCATTTTTGCATAAAATAAGAAAAGCTAAGTGGAACGTTATGAATCATGTTTCTTGAGAATCTTAAATCTATTTCTAGTGTCTTTTATTATTTGGATTTTATAGTTAATTTATAGAACTATCTCCAGTCTCTGTCCTCTCTTCTTCTTCTCAGCCTTCCCTGATCTGTGGATTATTTTCATAGCTATATATGTATTTTTTAATTTACGTGATATTCACATAAGATAAAATTAACCACTTTAAGGTGTATAGTTCAGTAGCAGTTAGTACATTCACAGTGTATACAAACATCACCTCTATCTAGTTCTAAAATGTTTTCATCACCCCAAAAGGAAACCCCATACTCATTAAGCAGTCACTACCCATTCCTTGGCGCTCTGGTGACACAGTGGCTAAGAGCTCAGCTGCTAACCAAAAGGTCAGCAGTTTGAATCTACCAGCTGCTTCTTGGAAACCCTATGAGGCGGTTCTACTCTTTCCTGTAGGGTCACTATGAGTTGGAATCGACTCAGTGGCAGTGGGTTTGATTTTTTTTTTTTTTTTTAATCCATTCCTTCCTTCCCCTAGCCCTTGGCAACCAGCAGTCTTCTTTCTGTCTCTATGGAGTTTATTCTGGATATTTCATGTAAGTGGAATCATACAATATGTGATCCTTTCTGTCTGGCTTCTTAGTATAATATTTTCAAGGTTCATCCACGTTGTAGCATGTGTCAGTACTTCATTCCTTTTTATGGCTGGATAATATTCCACTATATGGATATACCACATTGTGTTTTTGTTTTCACTCATCCCAAAGTATTTTTAAATTTCCCTTGTGATTTCTTCTTTAGCAATTAGTTGTTTAAATGTGTTTACTTTCAACATATTTGTGAATTTTCCAAATTTCTTTCTGCCATTAATTTCTAGCTTTATTGCATTGTGGTCAGAGAAGATACTTCATGTGATTTTCATCCTTTAAAATTTATTTCAGACTTGCTTTATTGCCTAACATATGGTTTATCCTGGAGGATGTTCCGTGTGCTCTTGAGAAGAATGTGTATTTTACTGTTGTTGGCTAGAGTGTTCTGTATATGTCTGTTAGTGTTAGTTGGTTTATAGTGTTGCATCTACAGTCTTCTGTTTCATCGTTCATATTTTGTCTACTTGTTTGTTGACATTTCTAACAATTTATTTTTGAGCTGTTTCTCCCTTCCGTTTTGTCAATTTTTGCTTCATATGTTCTGAGACTGCTGTTAGGTGCATATATATATATTTTTATATTTGTTTTATTGTGCATTAAGCGAAAGTTTACAATTCAAGTTAGTTTCTCATACAAAAATGTATACACATATTGTTATGTGACCCTAGGTGCTCTCCCCATACTGTGACAGCACACTCCTCCTTTCCACCTTGGATTTCCCATGTCCGTTCAACCAGCTCCTGACCCTATCTGCCTTCTCATCTAACCTCCAGACAGGAGCTGCCCATTTAGTCTCATGTATCTACTTGAACTAAGAAACACACTCCTCACGCGTATCACTTTATGTCCCGTAGTCCAGTCTAATCTTTGTCTGAAGAGTTGGCTTTGGGAATGGTTTCAGCTCTGGGCCAACAGAGAGTCCAGGGGCCATGTCTTCTGTGGTCCCTCCAGTCTCAGTCAAATCATTAAGTCTGGTCTATTTAGTAGAATTTGAGTTCTGCATCCCACTTTTCTCCTGCTCTGTCAGGGACTCTGTTGTGTTCCCTGTCAGGGCAGTCATTGGTGGTAGCTGGGTACCATCTAGTTCTTCTGGTCTCAGGCTGATGCAGTCTGTGATCTTTGTAAATAATTTTTTAATGGGAGTGTTTAATCCATTTACATTTAAGGTAATTATTGATAATGAAGGATTTAGATCTGTCATTTTACTGTTTGTTTTGTATATGCCCTATATTGCATTTGTTTCTCATTTTCTCCATAGCTATTTTCTTTTGTTTTAGATAGATAGTTTCTAGTGTACCATTTTGACTCCTTTCTCATTACCTTTACTATGTATTTGTTAGTTATTTTCTTAGTGGTTGTTATGGGGATTATAATTAACATCTTAATTTTTTGGTGATGCCATATTTTTTCACTGATGGAATGGATGCTGAATTGTTTGTTGACAGTTTTTTATTATCTGAAAAAAAGGGTTGCCAGTTGCAGGCAGGACATATCAGTCCCATGTTCCATGAAGCGCATCACACATGTGGGGCATATTGGTCCCATGGCGCATCACACTTCCTTGTTACACTTGAGCCATAAAATATCCTACTCAACTTTACAAAAATACACACGAAATACTAAATAAACATTGCAGTAGCAAGTGCACATGATTGTTATCAGTTTGATTTAGAGTAGGCCATATCAGTACCATGTTCCATGAAGCGCACCGCACACATGGGACATTTCGGTCCCGTGGCCCAGGAAGTGCATCACAAACGGTTTTTACCCCCAAAATAACTCATTTACTTGAATATTTCTGAATGCTGGTAACTGTACCTTCCCAATAATACAAAGGAAATAGTAAATGTACTTGCAAGCCTTATCTCGCAGTACAGAAGCCAAAAGACACAAAAGTTTCACGCAATCCTTCCTCCGGGAAGCATCCCCTCATATGAATGGCTCTCAACATTCAAATGTTGTGCAAAACAACTTCTTTGTTTTTTAGGCAGTTGCACCAGTATCCACCATGATGCCAGAACCTACTAAAGTGGCTTAAATGCCTGCCAATAAACCTTCAGGGGTGGAAAATGTAACACGGCGTATATATCCCATAGTCCACAAAAAGGTTATAGCACTAGTTAGAATTAGTTAGAAGTAATACCAACATAGTTTTAAAAATACACAAAAACTTCGCTTCTGTAAAGCGTCATGCTTCCACCTGTATGTTGTTAACGTCACAGATTGCATCTTTATACATTGTGCACCCCTCAACATAGGTTTATAATTATTGTTTCATATCCTTGTCTAATTGATTGATCTAAAAATGTTAAACCAACCCTGCATCTAGATAAATTCAGTTAATAATGATGTGTTGTTTTATTCTTGTTATGTATTTCTTGATTCATTTTGTTAAGAAATTTTGTGTTTATATGGATGTTAGTCTGTACTTTTTTTGTGTGATGTTTTAGTCAGGTTTTGGTATCAAAATAATGCTGGACTTACAAGATGAGTTGGGTACTGTTCTCCCTCCTGCATTTTATGAAGGAGTTTGTGTAAAATTGGTATTATTTCTTCCTTAAATGTTTGATAGAATTCATCAGTGAAAACTTCTGGACCTGGACTTTATTTATTCTGGGGGGAGATTTTCAGTTACTTATTCATTAAAAAATTAGATAAAGGGCTATTCAGATATTTTTGTTCCATCTTGTTTCATTTTTGGCAAGGTGTATTAAAATTTTTTTTTTTAATTCATCCAGGTTGTCATATGTTATTAGCATCATGTGTTAGCAAAAAGTTGTTCATAATATTCTCTTAATATCCTTTTAATGTCTGTAGACATAACTTTTAAAAATGCTTATAGAGTGCTTAGTATGTACCTTTCACTCTACAAATATTAACTCCTTTAATTCCACCAACAACTTTTGAGATAGATACTATTATCACCCCATATTATAAATGAAGAAACCAAGGTTAAACTAAGAGAGCTTGGGTGCCTTGCTCAAGATTACATAGCTGTTGTATTGAGAGGTTGAATTTGATCCTAGTTGGCCTGGGTCTAGAATCTTTGTTCTTAATCACTATTTATTCTGTGTTTCTCAAATGACAGAGATACCGGTTCCATTCTTTTAATGCGTTTGTGCTTTGTTCTCTCTAGAAATCATTGTTACTCCTACCACTTTTGTTCCACTGTGGAAATATTTGTTTCTGGTATTCCTAATTAGAACTTGGAATGCCTTTTTTTTTTTTTTTCCCTGTAAAGACATTACATGTAATGGCTAGGCATAGTTGAAATATTAGTGTTAATACTGTTTTCAGCCACATACATAATACATTAAAAAGACTTCTAGGGCCTCCTTGGGAATTTGCCACAGTTTATAATGTGAAACATTGTTTCTGTGGGAAAATGGTAGAAGAAATTTATTTTAAACATAGTTAAAAGTTAGACTTCAGTTATATGGGAATTGTACTGAAATTTTATTGAAACTCTAACCATTTGAATTTACTGAGACGTTTATAAACCATAATAAAAAAAGACAAAAAATTATGATTAATTTGTACATAGATATTCTTTTGTTTAGCTTTGATGAACTTATTGATTAATGTCTTTCAGGGTTATTCAAATGTTCAGAAGAATATTCTTCAGGTGGATCACAACTGCGTTCGCAATTCATATGATGTCTTCTCTTTGCTACGGTAAGAATCTCCCTGAGTTTTTCTAAAGAATCTTCCTCTTCTGAGTTTGTGACATTTTAGTGTGAGGAAATGTATGGGAGCTTTAGAAGCTGTTATTCAGGCTTAGCATTTCTTAGTGAGAGCTTCATAAATTTTGTAGCTACAGTGATTTAAGTTATCTCTTTCACAAAGCTTTTGGAAAGGCATTTCCTTTCTCTGGACAGTGGGAGAGAGTGGTTGGAAGCCAGTGATCTTAAAATGGACATGAACTGTACTCAGGTCTTATGCACTATAAAGAGCAGCAACCAGTGGTGCAAAATTTAGGCTTTTTAAAGCCTTAACAACTACAGCATCACTAGAAAAGCCCTCCGACAGCCCCAAACATGGCTTATAGTTTTGACCTGCTGTTCATCTTAAAAGAATCATGTTTGGCAAGCCAAGGGGCTTTGTATGAATCTCATGCTTAGCAGCTTAAAAGCCTCTGCTCTGTATTTTCATAATGTCTGGGCTTAATTTGGAAAAACTTTAAAAATTAGTTTTAATTTTAAATGTGGTACATCATCAAGGACATTTCCCCAGGAGGCAGGCTACCAAAATAAATGCAATTCAGAATGAAGTTAACAGTGACACTCATCCTCTGTTCACCCTAGACAGACAGATTATTCATTGAAATTTGATTTTGGAAGAATTTTTCTAATCTTTACATAACATATCATAAATTGTAGACCATTAGACATCCTCTATGTATCTACTAGAAGAAGAGCCTAGAAGGATGATTGAATAAATGGTTATTTTATAAACATTATATAATGGCCCTTTCCTTTGGGAAACTTGCATCTTATTACACATGATGGTATAGAGTTTGGTTACATGGACTACTTAAATTCTTTTAAGAGACAGTGATTTTGACTAAAGTAACCACATGCATTTGCTGACTTTTGATTCTTATCTGAGAGGTACTTTCACCCTGACTACTTTGAATATGTAACAGAATGGACAGGATTTTGTAATTAGATGGTGGAGATAGAGAGTGGGAGGTGCCACATGTAAGTCGTATTTTTGAGCCTACCCAAAATACATAACTTACATTTCTGATCCTGTTCAGTTTGGGACACATTGAATTTTAAGTATTTGAAAGGGTCATGTCCAGAAATGTGAGCAAGCCACTGATATTTCTTGACCTATGTTTCCCTCTCAGTGAAATGAAGGTATAAATATAATTATTTTGAAGATTTTTTCAGATCTGAAATTGTTTGACTTTATTAGAGAAATGACTAGAATTAAAAGAAAAAAGAATGCTAAGTCAGAGAAAAAAGGAGGATTTGGGGCAGATTAACATCATAGAACCTAAAAAGGGAGAGAGATTTTAGGGGTAGCAGAAGCTCTGAGGAAAGACAAATCTTGGGAAGAAACATGGTATCATAGAGAATGCTTTAATTAATCTGGCCCTGACTTAAATTATCCCTGATTATGCCAGTTCATTTCATCTCTCTGATTCTTAAAGGTAGAAGCGATGATGTTAGAAATTTGTACAATTTTCAAAGCATTTTCATATCTATCGTCTTACTCTCTTAACTCTTTTTGTGTTCACCAATTATGGATTATAGCCTTTGTTTTAAATGTAGAAGCTGAGACCAAGAGGCTTTAAACGATTTATCTACCTTAGGGCATCTAGGAAGAGCTAGAGGGGAGGCTGGAATGAAGGTTTTCTGACAAGTATGTTTTGCAGATGCTTTTCAGAGTCTCACCTTCGTTGATTGGTGGCTATAAAGTGCACATAGCATATTGGCTTATGAAATTTTCTGAAAAGCATAGAGCCCTCTATAAATGCAAAATCATCATGTCAGTTTGATAGTTGCTCAGTTATTATAGCATTGATCTTGCAGTGATTTGGCTCTTGAGGGGTTCATTTCTAGGGTACCTTCCAGACTCCTCAGGCTTGTCACCAATTCAGATTGCCTTATTAACAGTGGCATCCTCGTCACCACTGTGTAATTCATTTATAGCTGGTAACACAGATTCATTTACTGAACAAGATCAAGTATCTATCAGCCAAAACCTGAACTCAGGAAGTTAGCTGTGAAACTAGAAACTTTAAATTGTATTTGTCAAAGTTAATGAGTAAAATAGAATTTTCTGTGATAGTTCCTTAGACATTAATAAAGATTAACCATTGTCTGCTCTATTAAATGCTTTTTCTTCTTTGTACCTCAGTTATTGTAGTTAGTATTTGTTCATTTTTCCTTGTGGTTTACATTTAAGGTTTCCTATCAGTTTGAACATTGTTAGGGAAGAGAGCTTGTTTTTATTAACTTTGAATCACTTACAGTGTCCAGCAGAGTGACTTGGCCTGTTAGGTGTCCAGTAAATGCTTACTAAATTGAATTGAAATAAATAATAGTTCTAATTAGGATTAGAACCCAGGTCTCCAGATTTTTTCTTGAACATTTTATTGTGCTTTAGGTGAAAGTTTATACAGCAAATTAGTTTTCCATTGAATAATTCATACACAAGTTGTTCTGTGACATTGGGTGCAATCCCCGCAATGTGTCAGCACTCTCCCCATTTCCACCCTAGGTTCCCTGTTTCCCTTTATCAGGCTTCCCTGCCCCTCCCTGCCTTCTCACCGTTGCTTTTGGGCAAATGTTGCCCTTTTGGTCTCATATAGTTGATTGTTCTAAGGAGCACATTCCTCACAGTTGTTACTGTATATTTTATAGGCCAATAATTACTTGGCTGAAAGGTAGCCTCTGGGATTGGCTTCAGTTCCAAGTTAGAAGTGTATCTTAGGGCAATAGTCTCGGGGGTTCCTCTAGTCTCTGTCAGACTATTAAGTCTGTTATGTTTTATGAATTTGAATTTTGTTCTACATTTTTCACCTGTTCTAACCCGGACCTTCTATTGTGTTCCTGGTTAGAGCAGTCAGTAGTGTTAGCCGGGCATTATCTAGTTATTCTGGTCTCAGGCTAGAGGAGGCTGGGTTCGTGTGGGCCATTAGTCCTTTGGACTAATTGCTTCCTTGCATCTTTGGTTTTCTTCACTCTCCTTTGCTTTAGGCGGGAAGAAACCAATAATTCTATCTTAGATGGCTGCTCGCAAGCTTTTAAGACCCCAAACACTACTCACCAAACTAGGGTGTAGAACTGTATCTTTATGAGCTATATTATGCCAGTTGACCTAGATGTCCCCTGAGACTATGGTCCTTAGCCTTCAAGCCCCATAGCTCAGTCCCTCAACGTGTCTGGTTATGTCTAAGAAATTTCTGTAACTCTGCCCCCGTGTGCTCTATTATATGTATGAATATACATGCAGTACATACAAATATGTATGTAGAAATATCCACAACCATACCTATATATGCAAGGGAGTGTACTCCTGTACGTCCTCCCAAACCTATTTAACGTACATATCTATTTGTGTATCCATTCACAAATTATTGTTTGTTATCACTGTTGTTGCAGGATTGTATATGTTATAGTATTTATTATAGTTGCCCTTTATTCTTGCGTACCTCTCAGTGTCTTTCTTTGCCTTTGTCACGTTCTGCTGACTTCTTCCATATTTTATGTTGCTTTTCCCTTCACCAGAATTCACACCTGTCTACTGTCTAGTTAGTGATTCTCCCTTCCTACCTCTCAGCTCCCTGGTAACCATCAAAGAATGTTTCTTTCTGTATAAACCTATTCTTGACTTTTTATAAAGTGGTCTCATACAATATTTGCCCTTTTGTGATTAACTTATTTCACTAAGCATAGCGTCTTCCAGATTCATCCATGTTGTGAGATGTTTCAGGGATTCATCATTATCCTTTATCATTGTGTAGTATTGCATTGTGTATATGTACCATATTTTTTTAATCCATTCATCTGTTGATGGACACTTAGGTGGTTTCCATCTTTTTGCTTTTGTGAATATGCTGTAATGAACGTGGATGTTCATATGTCTGTTCGTGTCACAGCTCTTTTTCCACTAGGATATATACCTAGGAGTGAGATTACTGGATCGTATGGTATTTCTAATTTTTTAGGGAAGTGCCATACTGTTTTCCATAGTGATTGTACCATTTTGCATTCCCACCATCATTGTATAGGAGCTCCACCGTCCCCACAGCCTTGCCAGCATTTGTTATTCTGTTTGTTTTTTATCAGTGCCATGATTGCTGGGGGTGAGATGGTATCTCACTGTAGTTTTGATTTGCATCTCTGTAATGGCTAATGATCCTGTGCATCTCTGCATGTGTTTTGTTAGCTTCCTGAATATCCTCTTTGGTGAAGTGTCGGTTTATCTTTTTGTTATTGAGGTGTTGAAGTTTTCTATAAATTTTAGAGATTAGACCCTTGTCAGATACATCATTGCCAATTTTTTTTTTCCAAGTCCGTGGGTTCTCTTTACTCTTTTGGTGAAGTCTTTTGATGAGCATAAGTATTTAATTTTTAGGAATTTCAGTTATCTAGTTTATCTTCTGCTGTTTGTGCATTTTTAGTTGTAAAAATAGGAAATCTTGTCTAAGGCAAGGACTTGGAGCACTGGAGACCAGGGCACAAACCTCTTTCACATGGATGTATTGTAACATTTTGTAGGAAAACAGTGACCTGAGGTTTTATTCATATAATTTGGCCACAGTTAAAAATTTAGGCTAATTTCAGTGTTGACAAATTACTAGCAGCTCTTTCCAAATTTATATTTAGTGTATATGATGGTAATCAAATTTTTGCTTTTTAACCCTTGCAAATCCCTGGGTTAAGGGTTAGTTTTCATGCAAGCAGACATTTTATTAGAAGCCGCATTAATTTAGGATGTTCACCACAAGGTGTCAGTGTTGCTCTTTAACTGACATTTGAAATTTTATTCATTTTATAATTTGAAGTGAGAAAACTGGGGGACTTCAGTGGAATATAATGCGATGTTATAAATTATAAGTAAGTGTTTATTTTTAAGGCGCCCTGGTGGCACAGTGGTTAAAGTGCTTGGCTTGCTAACCGAAAGGTTGGCATTTTGAACCTACCAGCCACTCTGCAGGA